GTGTAATCCATATAAAGACCCTAGCTGTCTTTTTTTGCAGGAATTGACAAGCTGATCCTAAAATTGATATGAAAATGAGAGGGGAGCCAGAATAAGAAAAGTTATCTTGAAAGAAAATAATAAAGTTGAAAATCTCATACTTCTTGACTTCAAAACTTACTACAAAACTTCAGGGTAGTGTTGGCATAAGGATAGAAAAAGAGATCAATGGAAAAGAACTGAGAGTTGAGAAATAAACAAATTTGAGTCACGTGTCCAATACAAGTGTCCCACATTTTGGATTCAGTGGATTATTTTTTTAATGGTGCTATTTACATGGCTCCTCTTCATGCTTCCTATAAAATGACACTTATATCTAAAGTCATAAGTTTTGTCATTTATTTAAATTTTCTTCAATTTCTTTCAGTAATCTTATAATTTTCAGTATATATGTTACGCATTTTTAAGTTAAATTTATACCTAGCTATTTCCTTCTTTTTGATGCTATTTTAAATGGAATTGTTTTTAATTTCATTTCAGAACGTTCATTGCTCATGTATGGACCGACAATTGATTTCTGTATATTGATCTTGTATTCTGCAACCTTTGTATACTTGTTGATTATAATTTATTTTAGTGGATTCTTGGTGTTTTTCACTATATAAGGTCATGTCATTTTCAACTAGAGAAAATTTTGTCTTCCTTTTCAGTGTGGGTGCCTTTTAATTATCTGTGTATCCTAATTTTCCTGGCTATCACTTCTAGTACAGTATTAAATAGATACGGTGAGAAAGGACATTCTAGTCTTGTTCTTGGTGCTGTTCCTAGAGGGAAAGCATTCCGTCTTTAATCATTGAAGTTTATATTAGCTGTGACTTTTTCATAAATGCCCTTTATCAGGTTGAGATAGTTTTTCTTTTTCCGTATTTTCTTGACTGTTTCTATCATGAAAGGTTGTTGGAAATTGTTAAATGCTTTTCTGCATCTACTTAGATGATCATGTGGGGTTTTTTGGCCCATATTCTACTGATATGGTTTATTACATTTATTTTTATGTGTTAAACCAACCTTGAATTCTTAGGATAAATCTCAATTTTTTTATCTTCCTGGGTTTGACTTTTTGGTATTTTTTTTTGCCTCTGTATTCAGAAGGAATATTCTTGTGTAATTTCCTTTGTTTTTCTTTCTTGTGATATATTTTTCTGGTTTTGTTATCAGGGTTTCTGTGTCATGATCCCTGTTTGCCATGATTCCCATTTCTCTTGCTTTCTGGAATAAGTTGTGCAAAGTTCATCTTTTGTATATTTTTCCCCCCAAATCTGGAATCAGCTGTGTTTTTAAGGAGCCCTTTCAGTTTAGTGGGAAACTATAATCTGGGTGTTGTGGTGCTCAAAGTTGTTGGCTCTCATTGCTTTTAACTCCTAAAATGGTAAGTATGTAGAGTATGTTTTCCTTTTGGTTCTGGAATATATATATAAGGGTAGGCCCCCTTTTTTTATATACATGAAAAAACATAATGTTGGATGAAATAAGAAAGTCAGAAGATTCCATTTATACAATGTTCATAAACTGATAGAATGAACCAGTGATTTATTTTGGAATAAATATATCAAAGGCAAAAACAAAGAAATGGAAGGGATTAAGTAACAAATTTAGAATGGTGATGACCTATCATGGGGGACTTTGGGCATACAGTTGGATAATTTCACTTATAAAGCTTCTGGATAGTGACTTTATAGATGTGTGTATTGTTCTTGGTTCTGGAATATATGTGTATTCCTTTTTAATATATCTGTGTTTCACATTGCTTATTTATGAAATTTAAAGGTGTTTATGTACAATACGAAGCATTGTGAAATTATCTTTCCTATAATTTGTAAGTAGTCTTTAAATAATTTGTGATCTTGGGGCGCCTGGGTGGCTTGGTTGAGCGGCCGGCTCTTGGTTTTGGCTCAGGTCATGATCTCAGGGTTGTGAGATCAAGCCCTGCATCGGGCTCCATGCTCTGCTCCCTCTGCGTCTCCCCTCTTTGTGCATGCTCTCTCTCTCTTCCCTTCCCTCTAAAAATAAATAAATGTTTAAAAAAATAAATAATTTCTGATCTTTTGCCAAGTAGACCAAAAGTGCCTTCTTACTGTGGCTATTAAAGTTCTTCTTACTATTTATACTGCTGAGTTAGTTGAATACCCATATTGATAAAAATGAATTTTGACCATTACACTGTATTCAGTTGCATCTATATTGTAGATCTAAATGTAAAGTAAGTTAGAGAAAGACAAATACTGTATGATCTTATATGTGGAATCTAAAACAAAACAAAATAAATACAAACTCATAGAAAAAGTGATCAGTCTTGTTACCAGAGGTAGGGGGTAGGTCAAATAGGACTTGGAGAAAGGTGGTCAAAAAGTACAAACTTCCTATAAGATAAGTAGTAGGGATATAATGTATACAGCATGATGACTGTAACTAACAGTGCTCTGTGATATATAGGAATGTTATTAAGAGAGCAAATCCTAAGATTTGCCATGAAAAGGAGGCAGTTGGTTTTTTCTTCATTCTTTTTATTGTATTTATATATGAGAGAATGGATGTTAGCTGACCCTATCGTGGTAATCATTTCACAATATATGTAAATCTAACCATTATGCTGTACACTTTAAAATTACACAGTGATGTATGTCAGTTATTTCTCAGTAAAACTGGAAAAAAAATTTTTTTAAATTCTTTTTATCAAAAGTTCCTTCAGTAAATTTTGCTATTTTCACACAGTGGAATTCCATACAGTTAAGAGAATTACAGAACTATAATTATACCCAATAACATGGATGGATCTCACAGACATAACACTGAGTGAAGAAAATCTGTACTTAAGGGGCGCCTGGGTAGCTCAGTCGTTAAGCGTCTGCCTTCGGCTCAGGTCATGATTCCAGGGTCCTGGGATGGAGCCCCGCATCGGGCTCCCTGCTCAGCGGGAAGCCTGCTTCTCCCTCTCCCACTCGCCCTGCTTGTGTTCCCTCTCTCGCTGTGTCTCTCTCTGTCAAATAAATAAATAAAATCTTAAAAAAAAAAAAAAAAGAAAATCTTTACTTAAAATTAAATACTATGTAATTCCATTTGTAGAAAGTTAAGTAGGCAAAACTAATGTAAAATGCTGGAATAATGGTTACTCTTCATCTGGGAAGGGGTTTTCAGATGTGTTTCTGGGGGACTGTTAATGTTTTGTTCATTGGTCTGTGTTCTCTTTCCACAGGTGTGTCCAACTTAGAGAAAATTCTTCAGGTTGCACATTTAACATTTGTGTTTTTTTCTCTATGTTGTATTTCTGTAAACATTTACCAAAAATTTTAGGTGCATAAGGGTATATATAAAGTGAGCTTCCTTTTTTTAATATAGAAAAGAGGAATAAGTTGTTTATACAAGCTTGCTTATGTGTATGTAATATATCTAAGTTATATAAGAAACTGATACCATACCTTGCTTGGGGTAGTGAAAGACAGGTTGGGAGGGAGATTTTTTTATTTGTTTAAGATAAGTTCATCAAAGATGGAAATATCCCACACTTTATTAGAGCTTCTATAAATGGTGCTGTCCTTTGATTTTGTGTTATAAGAACATAACTCGGTATGTCATTTCAGTTCAGTTTTAAATAAGATTTTACATGAATTAAACTTACTAAAATGGAATCGTCCTTATTTGCAGTTTTCAAAGGGTGGGTAGTGATACATGTTAACATAAAGCTTGTAAATATGTGAATACATATCCGAGAAGAGCTGCATAATAATATATATTCTCACAGCACTGTTCTCACAGCTATTAGCTGAGAACATTAACTTGATCACTTCTGAAAAGATACACAAAGTAAGATGATTCAGGCGCCAAAACACTAAATGTATCTGTTTATTATCAGTGTTTAGCAGCTGTTACCAATCAACATGGAAACTTTGGTTAGGTCTGAGGCGCTAACATCCTGGGGTCTGTTAACAACTCTGATTTGTTATATTGCAGTTTTGTCTCTAAACTGTTCTCAGTTTTAGTATCACACAAATTGGTTTTATGTAGAAGTCAATGATTGGCAATTCCCCCACCTCTTCCTCTGAAAAGGCTTGTCACCAAAATTATTTCTTGGCAAGCAGCAGCCAATATAAACTCTTGTGATTGGTGCAGTTGGCTGGTTGATTACCTGATTCAGGTTGGTTTTGGTATTAACACATTTTTGCCAACATATATCTTGCTTTGGAATTACAATGAACATGTTTATTTAAGTAATTCTGATTTGGACACCACCCAGAGTGAGTGGAAATGACTGATGAAGTACATACTGTGTTTTCTTAGTTCCTTGTGTTGTAGAGTTCTGTCTTCTTTCCCTCAGGACTTTTTTCAAGTCTTTTTTAAGGCATTCTCTCTCCTCTCTGTGGTCATGTGTTCTTCTTTTTTCTTCCTGCCTTCCTTGAGAAAACTCTACTTTAGAGCAAGAAGCTGTCTGATTGAATTCTAGCTGTTTTCTCCAAAAGAAATTATTTTTAGCGGTGTAAACAGAAAAATCTTTGTTTGGATGAATAAAAATGACTTATTTTGTTTATACTGAGTGTTATTAGTCAAGTTTATGTCTTTTATTTCCTAAAATCCTTCAAGAGAAATTTACTATGATTTTGTTCCTTATATTTTTATCTGTGTTATATTGTGATTTCCATGGATATTTGTGGGCCATTTCCAAATAAATTCTCTAAAAGGGACTGACTATGGCAAAGTGTGACTTATTGAACTGATGCAGTTATGTTTATCAAAAAGAAAATGATCTTCTTTTTGAGGTAACTTGAGAAGAATTATAGTGGAGGGAAGACCAGAGATTTATTTATTTGGTATATTGTCTTGATATATTTGTTTGAATGAGCAAGAGTACAGGGTTTTTGTATATGCGTGTGTTTTTAATCTTGTGGACCCAGGAATTGCCCGTTGCTTAGCTCCTCTGTCTTTAATTGATCAAAATGCTCAGTTTTTCTTTTCCATACTTATCATAGGTGGAGGAATTACTGATGGCCATGGAGAAAGTGAAGCAGGAACTGGAGTCCATGAAAGCAAAGCTGTCCTCTACTCAACAGTCTCTGGCAGAAAAGGAAACTCATTTGACCAATCTCCGTGCAGAAAGAAGGAAACACTTAGAGGAAGTTCTGGAGATGAAGTAAGTGTTTATAATTTTATTTTTCAGTAGAAAACCTTTTTCTCATTGCTTTCATCATCTGGCCCAATTTATTACCACTAACACATTTAACTTCATTTTAATGCAAACTTGTATTTCTCTAGAACAAATTTGGAACAAATTCTGGTCAAATAGAATTATTTTTGCCTCTTCATTGAATTTTAAAGTCCGAGAGAGAGAGAGAGAGAGAGAGAGAATGTGTGTGTGTGTGTGTGTGTGTGTATGTGTATATAACCATATCCAGTTGCATCTCTGAAATTTCTAAAATCTTATGGAAAGTTTAGCCATGTTGCTGAGCTTACTGAGGAACATGACTGTTGGTCTTGAGGTCCTATGATAGCCAGGTACTTTTTTAAAAACATTTTTTTTTTTTTATTATAAACACTTTCAAAGATATGCAAAAGTAGAGAAAATAGTATAATGAGCCCGTATATACATAGTCCCCATATTTAACCATTAATGTTTTGCTACACTCTCCAGTCAGTTTTTACAAAATTGTCAATTTTAGTAGAACCTTGCCATACATCATTTTCCTACTAGTCCCACATCTTGTGACTTCCTGAGATAATTTGTTGTGAGACATGTCATGTCTGCTAGTCCATAATAGATGCTTCTTTTTCTTCATTGTGGCACTATGCCCAATCCTCACCCCTTCATAATTGCCCTGCTCCTAGGTTTTATGAAGACAGATTTATCCTGGGATAGCTCAGCGACCTTCTTTACCTCAGCAATTGTCTGTATTTTTGTTGTCTTTTCTTCTGTTTCAGAAAAGATACTCTCTCCATCATAAGGCTAGCTTCTGATCTCTATCGCAGATTTTAAGCACAGGTCCCCTCCTCTGCAGTGTTCATCTGTTAGTTTTCTCTCACATCATCTGTGCTCACTTTCTATTAGTTTCTTCTTCTCTGCATAAATACTGAGTCTCCCTGACCTACAATAAACAGACTTCTCAGCTCAGCAAGTACTTTAGGCTAACATCACCTCTTCTTTTTTTTTTTTTT